CCCAGTTCTGTTAATGTAGTATACACATATTTCAACATCACAGTCTACAGTGTACTTCATAACTGAATGGGATTGATTCTGCCCACGTGCAAAGCCCTGGAAACTCTCCCTTATAGTCAAGTGTTGTGAACGAGCTTTTTTTCTTCTCTAAACTTTTAGCAGTGGTAAACACAAACCTAAGTAAAACACCAAGGTTGGCCACACAATCTAAGTTCAATACATTAATGATATTTCATAACACAGAGTAATATGTAATCTTACATTGCATACTTACTATTGTGAGTTTTCTTGTACAACTGCTAAGTTTCTAATCTTCTTGGAAGTCTTTGCAACAAGCAAAGTTGAGTCAACGTGAGAACTTTCGATAACATAAAATGCATTAATTATTTACAAAAAGGGAGATAAATGCACGATGGTAAAACTCATGTTCACTACTGACTAATCATTCCCCTAATGAAACATGGTAGTTCACATTATGGATTTTTGACGATTGTCTTAAAGAAAATAAAGCCAAGGTCGTATGTTTTCTGTTAATATGTATGTTTAACCAATCAATTGATCTATATATCTAGCTGTCTTTGCTTTGTATTGCTTAGCTTGCAAAAGTTTGCTGAACAGTTCTGCTTGTAATATTTTATGTAACTACATGTATTCAAATGTTCCTAAGAGCAACTGTCATTTGAAGGTGCAGAGGGACTTCTGGTTCTTCTCTTAATGTTATTAAGTTCATGTTCTGCATTTCTAGAAAGATGCACTTGCCCATACTGATAGACCACAAAAGGAGATATTTACTGAGCTGCCCAGGGACATGTGAGGGTAAGGTCAAGGCAGACAGTAATTCCCTACTGCAAGAATTTAATGCATGTAACTATTTTAAGTGTATGTCACATGCTCAGGTTCACGATGAAGATCAATTTGCAGTTACTTTCTCTTGTTTCTTCAGCCTGACTTCCAACTTATGTTAGGCAGAACAGTTGCAATATTGCATTTCCTCTGTTATTAAACAGAACTGAGCTCAGGGGTTGCAATCCCAAGGAACGCTTTTAAATAGCAGTTCTTGAGTACGCTATTTCCTGCAGAAGACGGAGTGCTGTGTTGTGAGCGGAACTGTGCTGTGATGAAGCATTGGAAAGTGCTTGTGTCTCTTCCCCTGCTTCCCCTGCCAAATTTGGTGTGCTGCCCTAGGTTCTTTAATTTGTGTCTGCCTCTCAAAGCCCTGAACACTGATATATATACTTTTGCTTCCTTAACAGTATCCCTATTGCACAGCTTCCACAGGATATGGACAAGGTAGTAGCTTAGTGGTCTACCAGTCCCATTTTGCCTGCCCCAGTCACATACACAGGTATATAGACTTCACAGAGATCCCTGTATGGATTGAAAACAGATTGGATATAAGAGCCCAGAAGTTTTGCAGATCTGGAATCATGCCTAAGTTACAGACCCATGAGGTCCCTTTACGTAACAGATTCAGGTCCAATTTCATGGCCAGCTTAAGCTATCACTAGCTGGCACCACTGCTGGAAGAAGTATCCAGCCACTTTGCCTCTCCTCAGTTGACCCCATCTATTGTGGCAGTAGAAGTTTTTGGCACTGGTTCACTCAAAGAACCCATACTTCTGATTATACCCACCTGATTCTTCCAAAGAGAACGTTGTGTTCAATTTTTTTCCCCACAACTAATGCTATAAAGAATTGCACAATAAACTGACATGCAAAAAGCCACAAACCTGGTCTAAACTCCCAGTCCTTCAACTTACCCCAGGGACAGTTTACTGACATTTCTGTGCCTAATAAAGGACAAAAATTCTAAAAGATGGGAAATGTTTAACAACAACAGCTATGTTTCAGCTCTGTAGAAACTCAAAGTTTCTCACAGAATATGAGCAAGAAAAAAAATAGCATGAAATAAAAATCTCTTCCAGTCTCATTTTTGCTCTGATGTCAAGAAGCAGTAAGGTGGAAAGGATCCTTTTTCTCATTGACATGCCAATGAGTTAATAAACCACCCTTTGGATGATAAAATTTTTGGAGGAGTTCGAATGAGTGCTGCTTTGTGTTGTGCAGCACAGTAGATATGTGCGTAACCTGAACACAAACCATGCTTGCTTTGTCTGTCACTGCTGGTACAGACAGGCTGATGAACGTAAATGAAAGAGGGGATGGCACTGTTGCCTGTGCTCCTACAGTACTGTGGGGTCCCTTGGGGGAGCCTGAGGGTCCTTCTGTGTATTTTGTCTCAAGAGGAAGCAATCTTCTGGCCCACAGGAGGCTGTGTCACCACTGGCACAGCGCCCCAGGGCTGGCAGGGAGAGCGTAGTTGAGTAAGGACTTTGCCAGACCTGTGGAAAAGCACAGGATGCAGACTTCCTTGAACAGTGATCCTCACGAGAAGCTGAGGCTCGTGTCTAGGTGGTTTGGCGCTGATCGCATTCTTCCTTAGCAGTTCAATCAATACAGCCTGTATTGTGTTGGATGGAGGACAAGGTACAAACAGAGCAGCTGGATTTAAAAATTGTCTATAAGTGAGTATGCACTGAGGTTTCAACCTTTTTTGGATTTACCAAAATCATATGAAGGTGTAAAAAGTCTAAGTCTTTGCACAGCAGGGTTACAGCCAAACACTTTAATTCCTGCTATGCCAGAAACACCCAGTTCACTGGTGCTGTATGAAATATAATAAAATTCTCTTGATTTGATATTGTAGCTCCTGATTAATCCACTTAAGCGTGAAATAGTCAATCTGCCCTTAACTCCTAGCTGCATCATTTGCAGATCATGTAACTAGCAACTTAATCATCACCCATGCTTGTAGATGTATGATTGTGAGAGATCTTGAGATATTTCAAAGGCAAGTATTATTCAAAACTCATTTATAAATAGAAATACAATGGCTATATTTTTGCTTTATTCAGCATATCTTTGGCTGCCAAAGGAACATACTAAACTAGCTGCCCAATTCAGTCATCTGTAGGAACAGAGCTGAATGTGTTGTGTAAAAAAATAGCCTGGTTTTAAACAGGGATATGCCTTCCTCATCTAAGATTGACTGTCTCTCTGCTCACTTAAAAGGGTCCTTAAAATTCTTAAGTGTTTTTTAAATCATATAAACCTCATAATCACACTTTAAACTGAATCTTTTCTCCTGATGGTGGTATTACAAAAATAGCATTTAGAACAAAAAAAATTCTTTGTGGTCATACAGTATGGCTCTTTTTGGTATATCAGAAATGTCTTTCATCTCTCTGATGTTAAGTGTTAGTTTGGTCCACTCTTCCCATCAAATTTAGTAAATCCAAATCTCTCTTCCAACAGCAGATATCAAGCAAGGTGTAAGAACTGGAATTCTGAGCCTACCAAGGGGGGGGGGGGGGGGGGGGGCGAGTCCAAAAAAAAAAAGGAAAAAAAAGGAAAAACTCAAAGTACCCTCAGACATCTGTATCATGTATTTCTCAACACTTCTAAACACTAAACTCTGAGAGGTAATTCCTGATCCACAGGAGCAAGCTGGAACAACAGATACAGAACACACTGCCACGGCAAAACATGGAATCAAGCAAATAAGAGCAACTCTGATGGAAGTAGCAAAACACACAGATGAGGTTAGTAATAACAACCCAGGGGGGGCGGTGGCAGCAGATGACGACAGGCTAGGATTGGGGCTTTTTTAGTATTTATGGCTTTGCCATTTGTTTTTCACTTGCATTGGAGAACATGGGTTTTTACATGTTTCTGGTTTTCATCAAGTTCAATGTGAAGAACATGCTACAGGACAACCTATCTGAAAAACACCATACTCTGATGTGATAAAGTAAGAGTTGCTCCATTTAGTTTCAGTTATCCAAATTGGTGGTGTTCTTGTTAAACGAGTGATTTTGCTAACGGCAAGGACATTAAGATAAGGATTTTTCTGAAGATGATGTAGATGTGGACTTACTCACTTGAACTATTATTTTGTCCAGAAATCTTCTCCCTTTCCATGCATTCATTCAGCATTCAACTGCTTTAACTAAAATACAATTTAACCTGCATCAGATGTAAAATTCTAGTTGCATTTAATTGGTGGAGAAAAGTTCTTCACCTTGTTGAAGAGACATTGTTGACAATGTATCCAAGCTGTTTACCCTGTAGTGTGAAACAGCCCAGATACACGTTCAAGTTAAGGATGTGTAAATACTGTGAAGCGTAAGTATTATGTCTCAGTTCAAGAGCCAAATAGCACACTAGGAACTAAATTTAAAAAGGTATGACTTTATGGAAAGATATTTTGCAGGCTTAAATAACTTCTATATAACACATGATCTTATACGTAATATGAAACGTATGATGAGACAGAAGATATTTACACAGTAGTTCTTCAACTGCAGGATAGTTGTAAAATGCGCTTTTGTTGAGGGAAGCTGTGTTTGAAAGATGAACTATGAGGAAGTATGAGTAACGGTTTTTTGTCTCAGCGTGTAGTAAAGCGACGGTCTGCGACTGTGGTCAGGTCTATGGGGATACCAGTAAGTTTTAACGACGTAGGTTACTCTGAACCTCAGGCAGCACGGCTCAGAGGCAGGCCAAGCACGGGACTGCCGCGGCCCCGGGGCTGAGGGAAGGAGGGAGGCGACGCGCGGCCCAGGCAGGGGCCCCGCCCAGGGCGGGGGGGCGCTGCCACCCGCCCGCCCGCCCGCCGACCTTTTGGCCGGCCCCCAGGCCGCCCCGCCGCAGGGGGGTCTTACCGGCGGCTGATACGATGGCGGCGGCTGGCGGCGGCGGCCGGCGGCTCCTCCTCCGCCGCCCCCCCGCGCTGTAAGGCGCCCCCCGCGAGCACAACCCCAATTATAGCTGCGCGCGGGGCTCGCGCGCCGCCGGACCAATCAGGCGGAGGGCCTCCCGCCCTCCCCTCGCTGCCAGAGCTGTCTCGTGACTGGGGGCGCGGCCCCCCCCCCCCCCGCCCGCAGCGCGTGACGCCGGCCGCCGCGCGGCGATAGGGCCGCCGGGCGGCGCGGCGGGGGCGCGGCCGTTCGGGGCCGGCAGCCGGCGAGCAGCGGGGCCCGGGATGGCGCGGAGCGGCCGGGCGCTCGGCAGGGCCCTGGTCGGCGGGCTGGGTGCTGCCGCCCCGCCGCCGCGCGCGGCCGCCCTCAGGTACGGTCGCGGGGGTCGCAGCCAGGGCCCCGGCGGGTGGCTGTGCCGGGCCGGGGCCCCGCCGCCGCACCGCCCCTCCCCTCCCGGCTCCCCTCATGCCGCCGGGCGGCCCCGGGGCCGGGGTGGGGTGGGGTGGGGGCGGGCCGCCCGGGGCTGGTGTCTTTGGGGAAGGGGAGAGGGAAGGGCCGCCCGGGTCCCCTCTGGCTCCGCGTCCTGCGGGGGTGGCCGAGGTGCCCTCAGCTCCCGTAGCTGTCGGCCCCTGTCAGCGGCCGGGATCGACGGAACAAACGATTTTCAGATTATCTACTTGCCTCTTGTCTGCTTAAGCCAGTTGCGTAATGTTGAACAATCCATAAAAGAAGTGAAAAGCTGAGTATGTTTTCCACTTCAGATAATGCAGCAAGTTCCTTATCCCCTGATCACATGTAAGGCTGGGTGGAACTACTTGGGAAACAGAACACACTTTGGGAGAGGAGTTCATCTTGTAACTGGTAGAACAAGCAGATGAGAGCGAGAGTGCAATTTGAAAATCTTGGGAGAGAAAAAAGGTTCACCTGTTACTCCTGTTACGGCAACATTGCTGTGTTTCTTCGATACATTCAAAGTCTTACTGTCATCCTCAAAACCAGTGAAAAAGTAGAATAGTTTATGATGTCAATTTTCAAGCAGTCATTTGACATAATTGTTACTGTGCAGTAGTATAATGGCATCTTATTTGGACCACATTTCTTACTCTATATCCTTCAGGTTTTAATCTTTAGGATAAGTTTGCAATATTAAATTAATTAAATCCTTGTAAGAAAAATTGCTATTTTTAGAAGTAATTTATTAGGGTCTTGATGGCAATATCAGTTGCTGGAAGGGTGTTGAGTATAAGGAAACTCATTAAGTAACTATTTGCAACCTAAGTTAGAAGATGTTTCTAGTGTAAGCTGCAAGAATCTTGGCAGCTGGTTTTAAGCAAGTGCGAGCTGCATCCAAACCGGTGCCGTATTATTTGTAGCCTTGAAGCTGCTGGGTATGCTTTCACGCCTTGCGGTTGTCAGTGGTGTACATTCTGTACCTGTTGTCAGCTGGGCAGACCCCTCCTTACTGTGCTGGACTCAGGTCCAAGGGCGCAGGTGGTAGATGAGTTCCTCGTGCTTATTCAGACTGAGATGCTAATGAGGACAGTTGTTGGCAGCGCTCATTTTTGGCGATGTGAACAGCTGTGGACAAAGAATTGGAATGAGATCAACTCGCAGACTGTAAAATGGCCATCAGATATCATTAACTTTATGGAAGTAACAGTTGGGATAACAGTAACTACAATTGCCCAGGCATGCTGTTATCACTAATTTCAGTCTTTATAGTCAGGAGTTCAAGATCCCTTTTTTTCAAAAATTTGTTAATCTTTGGGCTTAGAAAATTTTGTACCTCTTTAATCACTGAATATAGATCACTTGCATATGTATACCGTACACCAGTAAATGCTTCTTTCTCAGGACATGGGAGTCAGGTGATTCTGTGCTCAGTGCCCAAATGTTTGGAGCGAAAGCAGCGAGTGGCAGGAGTTGAATGATGCCAGTAAGAGCAGCGTGAGTGGATATGGTTGTGTTACTGTCTGTGGGTAAATACAGAGGTCGTACATGTGTCTGAATTCTGCTATGGACTTGGCTTTTCTTCTGTGGCCTTGATCAGGTTCACAAAAACATGTTTGACAGTCCACTGAAATCCATGCTTTTGTGATTTCTTGGAGGGGCGTGCTTTCCTGAGCTGGGACCGAGCCCAGCACATTCTTGTAGCATCTGTTTTTCTTCAGATAAAATTTGGAGAGAGACGAAGTCTCACCATGTTTGTTAGCATTATAACCTCTCTTAGCTTTGCCTTCCTTGCACGGCAGTATAATTGTGAAAAGGACATTGTCTTACAGCAGCTAAAGGACTATTTGTAGAGATTGTTTTTCAGCCTTGTAGCTGAAACAAGTCTAGATAAAACTGTATGAAACAATCTACTGGCATAGCATTACAGTAAAAAAACCCCACAGATTGAGAGAAGAAACCTGGAAACTAGTTCGGACTGTGTACTATATGTAGCCCGGGATAGAGAAAGTAATTTAAATTAGCTCTCCAGAAGGAGGCAAGGTCCAAACGTTTGAACATTTTCTATGAATCTGGTTGAGGCAGCTACAAATGTTCCTGGCACCCTTCCAGCCTTTCTGCCAAAGCAATGCTTTTCCTTAACAGTCTTGTCCAGTCTGTGTGCAAAAAAACCCCAAACTGTGTCCACATCCTTTGAGATATAGTTGCAAACATTTGCAGTTTGTTGTCTGAAGACTTTCAAAGTCAACCTATTCTTTCTTAATTTTGACACTATACTTCTGTCCCATCTTGATTCCTTTCCAACTGCAGTGATTACAATCTGTGTTGTCAGTCATCTTGCTTCATACCACAGTTACTGTTTTTTTTTTTTTTACGTCTGTACAGATTGTTTCTAATCAGATGATGATGATTATGTTCCTCTAAACTCAATTTATTATTTGCCTGTCTCCTAATACAGTGACCACATAAGCTAGGGTGGTCAGTCCTGAGTTATTACTCTGTTTCTTTAGAACTCAAAAGTGAGTTGATTTTTAAAGAACATGTTAATAATAGTTTTAATTGTTGAAAATTGGTAACTAATTTGCTAGACTTATTTGGTGGTTAGTAAAAAATACATCTATCTGTTCATTGTGTCTAAAAAAAGATACCTGAACAACCAAAGAAGGCTAATGCTAAGTGGGAAGGGTAGTTCCATTTTTTGACTATGTGAATCCAGAAGTACAGTCCTGATTGCTTAATTAGAGAAAGGACAGTAAAAGAGCTAGGTTGCTCTTCCTGACAGCAAATAGTACCAAAAATCAGAGCTTCTGAGGTGGAATTTTGTGTCTTAATTGACTTGATGTAGGCAAAATCGGTAATTTAGCAGAACAGACCTATTAATCATAATGAATATATGTTAGATTTTAGTGTAGATGTTCACAGAGAACACTGTGGTTCAATCTTAGAATTACTACCATTTTTAAAGGGAATTTGTTAAGATTTATTAATGAAAAACACTGTGTCCAAGGTTTTGCATGATTTTTTTCTGAAATAAATTTTGAAAGCTGGGTAAGCAATGCACTTTTTGAAAGGACTTTCAAAATTAAACTGTCCTTTTGAGTGAAGGATGGCAGCAGAGGGATTAATAGCAGAGTTCAGCTTTGTATCTCCAAGTGGAACCTTCCCTTCCTTGATTTTGCTATTGAGAGAGCCTGTTCTGCAAATTAAGTGCATATGAGGCTTGTACATTAACTCAGAGTGCTGTGAAGTCAACATTTAATGGGGTCTTTGTATTTTACTCTGCCAGTTACTTTTCTTGTGACTGGGGGCTATTTTTATTTTCTGCTAAAGGGAAAAAAAAAAAATCCCCCTTGTGTGTTTTAACAGTTTGTATACTGTTATGAGCCTTTGTTTTTCCATCTGAATCTGATATTTTCTGGAACGTTATACAACAGATTGTTTGTCTCACCTGAATGTGTTGTTATTTTGCTGATATGAAACACATCTAAAAGCATTTTCGCTGTTGCAGGCACTTGGCTTCTTGTGGTATTCTGATGACCAGAATTTCTCCTTCGCAAGTACCTGTAATGAACCATACCTTTTCAAGAACCTTCTTCAACATTGCTGCACCACTAGTAAATAAAAGAAAAGAATATTCTGAAAGAAGAATTATAGGGTTTGTATAGACCTCTGGAAAGAGACTTTATATGCTTATTGATTTTGTTTGCTGTGATTAATCTGAAATAGTAGAAGTTCAGAGACTGAGCGTCCCTGAAGACACATGCCCCTGTGACTCTGCCCAATTAGAGACTAGGAAGTAGTTTTGACTTTCAGAATTTGTAGAGATCAAGCTCAAGCTGAGTATTAAAAATGTATGAAGCCAAAACTCTTGCCCCATAGAAAGAAGTAGCAGAAATAATCCTTTTATTCCATGACAGAACAAAACAAAAAAACCTGAAAGGGAAGAATACACTAGTAATTTCATCTGGTGAAATGGGAATAAACCAACAGGTGTGAAAACTGTCTGTTTGTTCCCTTCTGTCCCAAATGGGTGCTTATGTTTGCACTTACATTATGTTGTAGTTCTCACTTCTTGAGATTTTCTTCTGCCTTTAAAAGAAGGAAAACAAGTAGTGCTGTGATGAAGAAATTCAGGCATGTAGAAAAAGATTTTGAAATGCAGTTTGCCTGTAAGCTAGTGGGAAAATTCCAGTTAATTTGATGAGACTGGGATCTGCCCCCAGACTCTGATCCACAATAATCTGAACTATTGGCTTGTTAGCATAAGTTTTTTGACTGTTCTTAAGAATCAGTTATGTGATAGTTCTTGAACTGTAACAGATTTTGCATAGTCACTTAAAAAGAGCCTTTGTCCAACAGTACTCACTGTGGAGCACTGTTGAACATATGCTTCATTTTAAAAACAGATGGAATTAAGCATGTGCTTTAATTCTTTTCTGAGTCAGAAATAAAAATTAAGAACCATCGCTATGCAATACTTTGCCATGTTACCACAAATCAATTAAAATGTTGCCATCATATTATTTCATACGATTTCAATATCCTGCTTGAGCAGGGAGGTTGAACAAGACGACCTCCAGAGGTCCCTTCCAACCTCAGCCATTCTGTGATGCTGTGAGGTTTTTCCATTGCATGTATTTTTTAATTAAGCTTTTTTATTTAGGATAAAATAAAGCAGTGTTCCTCTATTTAAACTTTATCAAATATAGTACTTTAGTTTTGATACACCTTTTCTGGGTAGCCTTGATAAGTGGATTGTTTATGTGGAATATCCAAGATCTACCTAAATGAAGACACAACCATGCTGGAAAAACTCTTTTTTTTTTTCCACTAGAAATGTATGTATATTTACCCAATATTGCAGAAAGTAGCAGGCACCGGCTTCACTATTTACTAACTTTACTGCTGGATGTTGTGTGGTGTTTGCATCTTTATGCAAAGACTTTTACCAGTTCATTACTTTTTTTTTTTTTCTCTTTTTAATTTCCCAAAACAGTGATAGTATTTTCAAGTGACTGTATGTTCACCTTCCAAACTGCCGTTTATACCATCTTTTGAAACTTTTTAATACTGAATTTGAAATACCTTGTAACTAATGTATGTGTTTCTGTTTCCAGGTATTCTATGCAGGAAATGTATGAAGTTGTTGCCGTTGTGGAGAATTACAAACTATTTGTTCCTTGGTGTAAAAAGTCAGATGTATTATCGAAGCGCTCTGGATACTGCAAAGCACAGCTAGAAATAGGATTCCCTCCCGTAGTAGAGAGGTATACATCAGTTGTTACCCTAGTGAGACCGCATTTAGTTAAGGTAACTTTTTTTTTTTTTAGCTGTAACTTTCCATAACTTTTGTTTGCTAAAATTCAAATAATTCATTGGTGTATCAAAACAAAATTGATGCTGGAAGTGCTTTGTGTGGCTCAAAACTTCTCTTGCTTTTGTTTAAAAACTTAGGTTAACTGGAAAGAATTTGAATGTGCTTTTAAAACATAAGCTGCCAAATGAGCTGGGGAAGGAATTGACATTTAATTTCATTTTGCTGGAGGAACTAGCTGCTGTTAATTAAGATATACCATTTTTGTTTGTTTTTGTTAAAACTTTGTCCAAGCCTCTTTAAATGCAAAATTAATACTACCTTAGAAGTTACAATTGACAACTGTAGCTTCTAATGCCTTAGCAAAATTGATATCTGTCATTACTTTTCTTCTGGGAATTTTACCTACCTAATATGAGAAGTCTTAAGAATAACTTGTTATTCAGTGTACTGATGAGAAGATAGAAGAGTGGCTTCAAAGCCCATTTGTTCAGAAGAAAAGCAGTTGTATTTCTCCTGCTTTCAGCTTTTCACGAGCAATTTTCGAGAATGTCAAGGGAGAAATATTAAATGATGTCTGGATCTTCTGAGTAGTTTGCCTTATATGTTCAAATCTGTTCTGGTTAAGAAGAGCTCAGAACAGATTCCTTAGAGCAAAACTGCCTCTCCCTTCATGTGGCAGATCTTGACTATTTTTTGGAGTAACTAGTGGAATTACAACAGTTGATTGCTGGTTCAGGATAATTGTTTGGATATCATATTTCACTACTCTTCTCTAGGCTTCCTCTTAAAAGACACTGCTCAAAACAGAAACTAGGTTTAAGTCCCACGGACACATGAATTGGAAAGTGAATATGCAAAGTACCTTTATTCAAGGTAATTGCCCATTCTGGAAAAAAAAAAAAAAAAAAAAGTATCTTTCTCTCTTTCTTAGTAAAATTGAACAGCTCCAGTGGAAAATCTGCATTTTACATGCTGACTGCTTTCTCCTTCCCTGACAAGACTGGCTTTTTCCTTTCACTTAGCTATCAGATTGGCTTACCAACATTCTTTCCCTCTAATTCACTCAGAAGAGAATTCCTTGTCTCAGAAAAGACCATGAAAATGGTGAGGAGAACTGTTTCTTTAGATTTCCTCTTCCTAGACTTATTAGCACTTTCTCTGCTTTCTATTTTTCCTAGAAGTTTACATTTTGTTCATGTAACTGTAGGAACATTTCTAGAGAAGTGACTGTGTGCTTGAACTATTTCACCGTCCTCAGAAATAACTGAGCAAAGGCAGCTTGCATGGTGGTCCAGCATAACGGGCTACTGGTGGCAACAAAATGTGCACGGATTTGCTGTTTAAGGCAGCACTGCTTGAGCAATGGAAAGATCAGACTGGTAGTAGCAGCTCTTGCCGCAGAGGAAAGCACAGAGTGAGTTTGCTACTTATAAGGTTGGGAGCAAGGGGGACACTGGCAATTTTCCCATGTTTCCTGCCCTTCTGGCAGCAGCAGGAAAAGCAAGCTCAGCTCTTGGCAACTAACCTTCCGTCTACTCCTCCCCTTTCTGTAGAGGTAGTAAGGTACTGCACCTTATTCCTGAGCAGAAAAATGTAGGTATTTTTGTGCTGCTAATTAGTCTTTGAGATGGCTTGCCTTACCATGGCTTTCAAACTACAAACACTATCTATTCATCATGACTAGTCTTGTTGGAGCAGAGCTGCTTGTGGTAAAAGTAAGAACTTGTTAAAAAAAGAGAAAAAAAAAAAAAAAATTATCTCCATAAATACCAAGCCAATTGAGATGTTATATTTGGATGATTTTGAAGTGTATGTCTTTCAATCTTTTTCTGTTATAAATACAGGCACAAAAAATTAGCTGTATGTATTTGCTTTAGCTAAAAGCAAAATGAGTGAAGATAAGGACCCTATTGTCAGGAAAACTGTGAAGCCAGCTACTGGAAATACTTTGTTTTAAAGCAGGATTGTACGCAACACTCCTGAAACATTAGTTAACAGTTAAATATGGCTTGCCAGTAACTAAAAGCCAAAGTATAAGCTGATTATGAACTTGAGTGTATAGTTTTACTGACTTCATGGTAGCTCTTGATCGCAATAGTGTCTTGTGACAGAAGATGTTTGGAGTTTGCTTCAGTCAGGTTTGTTTTGATGCTAAACATTTCTATAGCCAAAGACTACAGGTCTGTATATCAGTGTATAAATTATTCTGTACATAGAATCACAGAATGGTTTGGGTTGGAAGGGACCTTAAAGATCACCTAGTCCCAACCCCCTGCCATGGGCAGGGACACCTTCCCCCAGCCCAGGTTGCTCCAAGCCCCATCCAACCTGGCCTTTCATTACATTACATGCAATGGAAAAAAAAAAAAAAAAACAAAACAACAAACAAATGCAGTAAATATCCATATCCTTTGCCTAAAGCAGTGTTGCTCAAAATTCTGGTATATAGAATTAGCCTTATTTCGGTGTTCTATGCATCATGCTAGAGATCTGTTTTATGACTCTCAACACAAGAATTTTTCCTCTCTGTTAAAAGGAATTGAATTATTTTGCCATAAAGGACACTGTGCAGATGGGATCTCATGCTGGCTGCACTCTGATTTTAACTCTGCCCTGACCTTCACCGTCTAACAAAATGTAAAGGCAAACTTCAGTAATACCAATTTGTCACACGTATAAAAGCCCAATTGTAGCTTGACTTTCTGAACTTTATTTTAGGCATCCTGCACAGATGGAAAACTATTTAATCACTTGGAAACAGTTTGGCGTTTCAGCCCAGGTATCCCTGGCTATCCAAGGACATGTACACTGGATTTTTCAGTAAGTATTATAATTAAGACTACATCACGCTGGGAACAGGGCACAGAAACAGTATATACAACTGTGCTTGTTTTATTTTTTTTTTTTAACACCTGACACTAATTTTTAACACACATACGCATGGAAAACAAGTTAGTTTTAGCCACTACAATCCAAAAAAATTTTTGCAAACTTTACAACATGGAAACAATTACAGTGTCCTTTAGAGACATCAGTCTTCTGTGAGGTGTCTGCATATCATGAAACAGTCTAGGGACTGGTATCTCTCACCATACAACTCTAAACATGCTGAAGTTTTCAGGCAAATACAGATGGAGAAATACTACACATACCTTGCTGTTTCCTTTAATTACTCTACAAGTGTTCTCTCTAAGTGTTCTTGGTACCAGTAAGTATTTCCCCATCTATCCTGTTTGGTCAATTTAATTTCCTGGCTTCCAATTTTATTCTTTCATGTATTTGAAGTCTTACTCCCTCCTTCTATAATACAGATACAATAGATTTTTTGCTGTCTTTCTACAATATGATGGGATATCACAGCAGCTCAAAGCTATCGCTCTTTAAATCCAGTACCTGATTTAGCCTGCCACTCCTAGACAAGTTGTCTTCCACTCAAGCTATTGCTTTTCCATTTTGTCTATTTAGTCTGCCATCACATCTTTTTCTTATGTTTTATAGTGTTAAGAGTAGGTGTTGCATTGAGCATCTATCTAAGCTGGGGTTCAGAACAGGCTACAAAGTACACAGAAGTGTGTTGATCCTGCTGCCATCTACTGGGATACTCTGCTTTAAAACTTATCTGTAAATAGGAAAAAGAGCCTTTGGAGTATTTGTAAACTAGCACACAAATCTCGTTGGGTTAATAACTTTCACCTAATTGCTGTATTGCACTTCACACAGTTCAACAGTAAAAATGAATCTGTAGACATTCAAAAAAATACATTTCTCATCTGTATGTTATGTGCTCATGGTATTTCAATTTCTCCAGGCAATTAAGTGCCAGTTCCTGCTACTAATCAATACATAAGTTAGCTTCTAACCCAAGCCATAAATCAGTTGAGAAAATCTGAATTAAGCAAGCGTTCAAACTCTATAGTCTAAATACTGAGAGTCTGTGAGGAAAACTGCACCACTACCACACCAGCCCCTTGCCAAAGCCACCTTTTGACATTTCAAGTCAAGAAATTCAGTTAAAGGGAGTCAAGGCTGGACTTAAAATGGCTATTTTCACTTTCTTAGGGAAACACTATTGACACTTCTTACTGCTTACCCCCTTTTGAGGTAGCAGAAGCAAACGCAGTCTTTAAGCACTGTAACCCTTGCTAGTTACTGACCTGCTTGCCTCTGGGTCTGCGCTGATAGGGATGAGAAGCATTTCACAACAAACTTCTCAAAACATACTGTGCAATTACAGATATTACAGAGAAAACTTTGATTTCAAGAATGGTTGTTTGCTTTGGAAAATGTAAATTGAGTTTTGGGTTATGCTGGTTCCCACAAGCTGTTGTATCCTGTTTTTCCAGCCTGATTCCAGGAGACCTATACATACAGCAAGGAACTTTTCTAGTTTGGTTTCATCTCTTAAATTATTTGGTGTATCGATTGAAGCACAACACCATTTGTGCCATCTGCAAACTTTGTAAAGGTGTACTGTATCTCAAGTTCTTACCTAGTTACTGAACATGCCGCCAGACTCCTTATCCCTGCTCTGCAGAACTCTGCATGCTCTAAATGACAACTCTCAGACTTCCACAAGGCCCATTAATTCTACTGATGCTTGAGGTCAGGCAAATGTAAATGAAGCTACACTCTGGTTACAGTCCAGGTAGTTTAATTACTTCTGTGCTACTGTTTCACAGTTAACAGGCATTACTCATAAGCAATTTGAGAGAAGCTGTGTTTGCTCCCTTTGGCAGTTAATCTGTGGCTTTCTCAGGAATGGCAAAAACACTTAAATCTCAATCCCAAAGACGTGTTACAGCAGGACTGATGATAAAATTACAGAATTGCAGTAAAATTGCAGGGGAGCAACCCGTTTCTTTTCTGTAATCATTTTGGGAAACAGTGCGTTCCCAAACAACGCGATTCCGTAGCCTATGGGGAATGTTATTTAACTAGACTGAAGGCCAGCACAGCACAAAAACATAACTGAAGGCTATTTGATGTAAAAGTGACCTTTTCTTTTGAGGGTGGAGAGAGAAAGCAAGCGAACTCTCTGCACCCCTGCCATAACTGTTAACTGCTGCAGTTAATGCCTTTCACATGCCTTTTGGGTTTGCTGCAGCTTACCTGTAAACCTGCTGCCTTGCCATGCAGGCTGGTCTTCAGCCGACTTTTGTCTCCCAAGTAAGTTCTGTGTGCAAAGTAACTCAGTTACTGTTTGTCAGTAGCTTTTCATTATCCCAGATCTTTTACTCATGTTTTGTGATGCAGCACTTATTAAGTAAAATACAGTTAGTTTAGATAAATGCAAATTATTACTTCAGAGAACTAAACAAAATGTTTCTTCTCATTTAAAAGCCCCGGGAGACAGTCCTCTGACTTACTTGCAGACTAGCTGGAGGTTCTTTAATCAAGTTGTCTATTTATAACAGCATTTTACCACGATAGTAGATACAGGAAAAACAATTCTTCTCTATTGTCTTAAACAGGTTTCTTTTGAATTTCGTTCACTTCTACACTCAAAACTTGCTACGCTGTTTTTTGATGAAGTGGTAAAGCAGATGGTAGCTGCTTTTGAAAGAAGAGCATCAAAACTCCATGGCCCAGAAACAAGCATACCTCGGGAGCTAATGCTTCATGAAGTTCATCACACCTAAAAGGGAAAATTGTAACAACCTCCATTATAAACTGGTTTGTACACTTTATTTGTACAAGAGGTGCCATGCTCCTCCTTTGGGGCATCTATTTCATAGCTGAGCTTTGTGTGTGATTTATACTGTACAGAACACACCTGTTCAGCCAGATGTACATAGAACCTTCAAGCTGCAATCAAGTGCAACTTAAAGTGTTATCAGTAACAGACAGTTGACAGCTACTGTAACACGAGATGTCTCAGGCTGCTGCCGTTTCTTAACTTGCCAGATGGTTTGTGTAGTCACAGTCTAAGTTCTACCCTATCCAAGCTTAGGGTTTTTTTCAGCATTGTAACATATTAACTCAAGTTTAAGTTATTAATAGTGTGAATGTAACTTAACAGCATCAATTCAGCCACCTGCGGCCAAGGGAAGGGAGGACATTCTGCCTTTGCTGAGTATGAACAGTTCCTCAAGCATCGAGTAGCAGGTGCCTTTAATCCAAGCGAATGACAAGGGTCCGTCAGGAGTCACCAGCTGCTGTTGAATTCTGACTGGCAACTGCAATAGAAAAAAGAACACAGCCTGAACGCTTGCATTTGCAGCTGTTAAAGGCGGGGGTTACACCTGATGTAAGCAGCCGTACGATTTGAGTGCAGCAGTTTCGGCTACAGCCGCTGGTTGGCGGCTGCCCGGGTGCTGGCCCGGTGCCGGCGGTGCCTTGGGCGCGCTTCTGCTGCCCCCCACCGCGGGGAGGCTGGGGTGGGTGGGTGCAGCTCAGAGAATGCAGACGGGTCCTCGTTCCACCACAGCTTTAAGCCAAGCGTTACCTCTTTGAGAACTAGGGCGCGGGTGCACAACCTTCCGTACCACAGCACTGCCCTTCCAGGAGGGAGGGCACAAATTCTTCTGCTTTCCACAGACGTGCACGCCTGACGCTAGCTGCCATTCAAAAACACACAATGGAGAGCTAAACTTTAGCTCTTTGGGTTTTTTTCCCAGTACTGTACTACTGTTTACTTACTCCATTACAACACTGCCAGCTGCCTTAATTTTCAGTAGTTCTATGCTGGACATTCTAGTCTCTAAAAAAGCGTAAGTGAAGAGGTTTGAAGAGATTTTCACTCCCATCTATAAGCTGCCTTGCATTACCAGATTTCCTCACTGAAATTAGGTGAAGCTTCAGATCAGGTGTTGAAGCTGAGCCTTTCTCCAAAGTGCCTGCAATCCACCTGGTTCCTACAGAAGTGTGCATTAAATAGTATAGAAAGGTGTAGTTCTAGGCAATGCCTACCCTGGAGCAGTTTCAGACCATTCAGATGCTTTTCCAGAAAGAGCAATTGGACTTTCACAGATCCTGTCTGTAAAAGATAGAAAGGTGGGGAAAGTGGCAGCTGGATCAAGAGGTCAGTTTTAAATCCGTTTCTTATGTTGAGACAATCAGAGAAACATACACAAGTTTGGGAACAGAGTTGTTTTGAAGTTTGGAAAGCAGAGTTGAACAGCATGCAGGAAAGACTACACAATTAACTAGGTCAGGTCAAAGAACAAAGTAGGTGGCAAATGACGCTGTCCTTTTGAAGGGTAAAGCATCTTGTACAAAATAATTCAAGCTCAATCCTTGAGCCCACTACCAGCAAGCCAGAAGCCAAGACTGGAAGGCTCAGTGCACACCCGGGCAAGGGGGGTATTTAAACCCCCACCCCCCCTTTCTCAGCACAAGGGGGGGCGCCTGTGCCAGAGCCAGCGGGCACCCTCCCTCCCAGCACACTGCAAGGTGCACCTGAACCCAGCAGTACAGACAGGGCAAAATAAAGTCAGTGCACAGGCCTTAGTTTCATAGCATTGTTTAATATTTCAGAGAACTGAACACTCAGTTCAGCTTAGATAGTTCTTGGAAAATTTCAAGTCACTTGTATTTTTGAGAAACATTCTAGACAAAGGAATGTTTCCTGGAGGGCAAGGCCCTGTCTTTTCCAAGCTTAAGTGTCAGATTTCTAGCAAGTCTCAGAAGCAGCAGCAAGCTGTCAAGGTTCTCCCAGGGCTAGGGCTATGTGTGCAGATGAAGAAGGTGATACATTTCATCACTTTTGAGCAGTTTGTTTTATTACATAAAGGTCACAGAACTGTATATTTGCCTACTTTGTACACAATTGTTTAGTTTCACGCACAGTGGCTTCCAAGTTCTTCCTAGTACTGGCAAGCACCAATAAATTCTGTAACAGAATATCAAGTGCCTTAAGTTTAAATCAGAACCTTGGTAGATGGATCTTGCACCCAGTTATCAGGAATGTACAAATGTCTTTATTCAAAAAATACAAAATAAATTATCTGTAGGCATGGACAATGACTGTAAACAATTACACGTGTGTTAAATGAAATCCAGTAACTGATGGTTACAGTGATTCTTTTAAACACCAGCCTCACTTCAGTCACTATCCACCCTCCTGCACCGACATGTGAAGTTTTTGAAGTCAGAACTGTCAGCCTTAAACAGCACAGCTCATGATACATCCCCACCCCTGGGCCTAGAACATGCCACCTCCCATTCCTCCACCCATGCCGCCCATTCCTCCCATTGCCATCTCCTTTTCTTCCTTAGGAATTTCAGTCACCACTGCTTCTGCTGTTGACAAGAGAGATGCAACCCCTGCAGCGTCCATCAGAGCAGTTCTCACAACCTAAAAATAGGAAAGAAATAACTGAATACCTGCTGGCTATCACATGCGGTGAGATGAAGGAGAGCTGAGAATTAAAACTATTTCAGCTTACCTTCGTTGGGTCTATGATTCCTTTTTCTACCATGTTTACAAAGTCCCCAAGCATTGCATCATAGCCAACTTCAGAAGGACTCTGCAGGATTTTTTCAACTATTAGTGATCCTTCAACGCCTGCATTCTTTGCAATAGTCATTGCTGGGATTTTCAATGTTCTCCTTATTATTTCAATGCCTGCAAGAAAAAGGATGTTTAGAATTACATACTACATACACTGCTCCCTCCTACTGCCAAGGCATGCACTCACGTGCTGGAGGTCAATACAAAAAGAGAACCCTCTGAGCAAGAACTTAAGCTATTTTGATCAGTTCCAGGGAAAAGATCTCTGCTGCTTGACATCTGTCAACAAATGAAATCCCTGCAGGGTAGTCACACCCATTTCGGTTTTACTTCTGCAAAAGGTAGTAAGGAGCGTTATTACTGTAACATGGCACAAAGGCTTTTTCCATTTGATTTGCCATACAATCTCTTAAGCATTCTTAGATTTTTCTGTCTGTCTGCAATGGCTGCAACAGTCAACTCCTCCTGGAAGGGTTTGCAGTTCTTTGCAGGGGCTCCCACTGCTTTGTTGATACTGGTTGCTTCACATTCAAGTCAGGGATGCAGTGGAAGCTCCTTCCCACTATAAAGCAGAGACCGCTATGCCAAGGAGGTGCTAAAGATCAAGTAACTCAACTCGCTGAAAGCAATCTGTATTCCATCTTATAAAGCCTCGGGACAGAAGACAGTCTATTCTTAACACTTCCACGTGCACGTTCAGGTAATTTACTTACCAATTTTCTGATCTTCATTGGCTGGAGCTAAGGCATCTAGTGCTGGAATGCAGCGGAGCAGCGCACAGCCACCGCCCGGAACGATGCCCTCCTCTACGGCCGCGCGGGTCGCGTTCAGGGCGTCAGTAACTCTGTCCTTCTTCTCGTTCACTTCCACATCACTTGTGCCACCAACCTGCAAGCAGCAAGCCACGCGTCAAGGTCCACACAAGGAGCCCTGGCAGGAGAGTGCTGCTGGCTGCGGAACTGCCGCCACAACATTAAACAGCCTGCCCGAGCCATTAACTGAGAAGAGCCAGAAAGCAAACCCGGGCTCGCCCATCCTGGCAGTGCTCTTTCGTACCTCAGCACTCAAGAAGCCTAAACACACAGTTTTAATTCACTGTGTCATTAAGTTCTTAATACCAAAGTGTAGCACTGCACGAAGCCAAATTCCTTATCCAAATCAACTGCTAAGGTTACGAGGCAGCCACCCAGCAGAAACTCAGACCGGCAATAAAGGACTGATATTGCCCCTTTCTGAAGAAGTTAAACTTCTCACCTTCAATACTGCTACTCCATCAGAGAGTTTGGCCAATCGCTCATTCAGTTTCTCTTTTTCATAATCACTTGTGGTAGCTTCTAGCTCTTCAATAATTTCTTGAATACGTTTTTCAATTTGAGCCTTTTCGCCCTTCCCCTTCAGAAGCATGGTGTCATCTTTTGTCACAATGACCTCTCCAACTTTACCAAAGTCGTGAGGCTGAATATCTTCCACATTCAGGGTTAAACCCTCTTCTCCAAACACCTGAAACAAATTACACGAAAAGTCAGAATTCACAGCTCCTCTATATGTGAATTTTTTATTTATAGATGCACACACAGCAGGCCAGCAGTGCAAAATAATCACACTACTGCAGCCAAGTTCAACAAAACTCTTCCCTTCTCCACACAGAGCCCGGGCACGCAGGCACGTCACAAACTGGCCCTGACAGCACAGGGGCTGCCAACTCCTCGGTCCTGACTGACTAGTGTAACTCACCGACTCACAGCACCCCAACCCAGGGTTGTGTTACAGACTCCCCCCGTTCTGAGGAGTTACAAATGCTGGCGCTGAACTGGTTTAGAATAGTTTGCTGGTTTGTTACTCTGTGCTCTGGTTAGCTTAAACATCAAGTTTATTTCAATAGCCACCTTTGGATTGCAGCATTTTGCTAGGATTTTGAAGCATTTATTGAAAAAAAAGCAGCACAAAGGGACACTAATCAGCACATCAACTATTTGAGAAGTTGAGTACAAAAAATTATCCAGTTGATTTCAAATGTGTAAAAGATTTATATTTGCTATACTCAAGTCTGGGCAATTGTGAGACAATCACTTTTATAAGGTGGCAAGAAAGCTTTGCAGTTTCTAAGGAGATTTCCTTGAAGTTCCTCCTTCCCCTTTAACAACCTAAATGCTGCAAGGAAACTGTGTGTAACTTGAGTCAGTTACTCATGGTCAGGACTGTCTCACAGAGCAGTTATCAATATCAATGTTTGAAAGGAAAAAAAAAAAAGAAAGTCTTAAACATTACTGTTACATTTTTGAAAGAAGAGAATGCAGCAAATACAAGCGATGGACGTAAAAATATATATTCTCTTCCTCCTTAAATACCATTAGCATTACTTAGAGCAAAAAGCCAGATAAAACACCATTACTTACAGCACCACCAGTAGCAATTGCCATATCCTTAAGCTGGTTTTTCCTGTTGTCACCAAAACCCGGTGCTTTTACAGCAACAACCTGAAGACCCACCTTCAGTCTGAAGAGAAAAATGCAGAGAGAAACAATCCACATGTGTCCAGAGAATAAGTCCAATTACTAAAACTAATTCAGTACAGCTCTAACGATCAAGCGAACAAAGGGACCTTGATGAACTGAGCTGGTTTTGCTCAGAAAGGTAGGTGGGAAACACCTGAAATTCTGTCCCAGCTGACACACGGTATGGCTACGCACAGAAGCTGCAGTTTCTTTGGTACCAGGAAGAGAACAAACAGCACTACATAGTAGCAAATTCAAATACATGCTTCAGCATGTATTTCTTTAAACTGATGAAAACACAGAAACAACAAAAAGCAGGATTTGTCTAGAAGTATGGATTTTGAGCCTCACCTGTTCAAGACTAGAGTGCTGAGGGCTTCTCCATCAACATCTTCAGCAATAATGACCAAAGGTTTGCGGTGAGCATTGGCAATTTCAAGAGCTGGGACTATGGACTGTACACTAGAGATTTTCTTTTCACTGATTAAAAGGTAAGCGTCCTGGAATTCACATTTCTGCCCTGCAAAACCAACATGAATTAACTGAACAGTCCAATTATAAAAATGTCTCATTCTCCTAAACTTAAGGAGCTACTTTGGAAAAACTGTTGCATTTTTCAACAGCACTACAGAAAAGAGACACAAATTGTTTTCTCCAAGACTCCACTTTTATTTTAATTCAACATTGTTCCGAAGTGTTGCAAGGACAGCTTGATGTTAGCATGGACGCTGCCCACACTTAGCAGAGAAGACAAAAAAGCCCTGAAGACCCCAAGCTTTTACCAAAAATTCAAAGTTTCTGATGGGGAAGGACCCCCCAAGTCCTATTTGCTGTGGTTCACAGTGTAACAGACTGTGAAGTCTTCATAGCAGGTACCATTACTTCTAACTTACAAAAGCCACTACGGTATTTGGCAGGTGTTATTGTTAACTCACCTTTGGTTGTATTAATAAAATATGGAGAGATGTAGCCTCTGTCAAATTTCATACCCTCAATGATTTCCAATTCATCATTCAGAGTTTTTCCATCCTGTTTAGGGGCAAGAAAGTCTACATTAAAGATCCTTTATTTACTCCCAAAAGCATAAGTACAGTTTTAGCATGCTATGCACAACAGAATGAAAGACTGCACCACAGGACAGTTTTATGTGCCTCCCTTCAAAATAAACAGATTCTGAAAGGGAACAGCGATCAAACCCTGATCTAGAGCAGCTGGGGAGAGAGGAATGATGGTGGGGTACCTTTCATGAGCAGCAGCAGCCACATCAGACGCCACAAAAGCCAGCCCTAACTGGAGAAGAGACAGTCACTTTGCATTTAGTCTGTATGTTGGCCACGTTCTTACCTTGACAGTGATCACACCCTTTCGTCCAACTTTTTTCATTGCATCAGAGATTATATTGCCAATTTCCTGATCCCCATTTGCTGATATCGTGGCAACCTGAAACCGCAAACCATTTAACCTCATTTTGCAATACAAGTGATTTGTTTCCTCACTATAAAGAAAGTCAGAAGAACCGTTTCCAATTCTCACGTTTCCTGACAAGACGGGGCGGGCTGACTGTAGCACACCCACGCCAGGACCCAAGAACTCCGCTGCCCCGAAAGGGCTAATGGCTCTTGGGCAACTCAGCCACTGGCCCAGCTCCCATGCACCAGGCACACACGGGCCACCCGAACCTGCGGCCGTGGGGAGCAATAGGCCCTGCAGGCCGACATACCCGGTGCCTGGGAGCCAGCTGGGGGGCACCCACTGCAGCCTGAAGCTCCCATAGCAGATCCGCCACCCCTCCCATCCACAAACACATCTTCACTCTCATCAATGCTTCCCAGGTACACAAATTTATGTTTTAAGACAATATTTTGGAATGAAACTTGTAGATGAGAAAAATTACCTACTTCTGAACCAATTTCTAGCAGTGTAATCAAAGGCAGAATACTGGGAATTGTAAGTAACTCAAGAAATGACAGTATTACCATGAAGATCATTCAATGAAACACACCCTGAATCTT